TGGTCAGGTGAAGAAGGTGGAAGGAAGTGTAGACCAATGACAGTGTTTTAGGGCCAAATAGCCTGCATCTGAGCTGTAAGTACTTTGCTAGCCAGAGGGGATGGGTTAGGGTTAGAGGGGACGAGACAGGAAACAAATAAGATTAGTCAAGGATGAAGAGAATAAGGTAAGAGGTGGAGTAAGAAGATTGAGAGACAGGGGTGGACAGAAGGGGACATAAGGCTGCTGGGGGGAAGATGTTTGATATGTGTATTGGGATGGTATAGATGGTGGAGCAAAGCAGACAGAGGTCAGGGAGAGAAGGGAGGACTGGGGAATTGAATAAGTGGAATTTCCATTATATTGGAAATATTAACATGGGGCAAAGTGGCATGGGATGAGGTATCAAAGGAAAGGAAAAACTGGATGGAAAAGTGGAACACTTTGCTATGGAAACAAAATGCAAGTTTGTCTAGTGCAATGAGTAGTGTCAATATCTCTGAGCTAGAGGCTTACTCATTTATTATATTTTATTTACATGTTAAGCACTAATAATATCTGTTCTCCAAACTGTGTGTCCAGCTGGATCAGACGTTTTGTAGCCTTAATGCCAATCTGAACTTCCAAACTCATACCCTATCAATACCTACATCCACTTCCTTTGTTAACTGACTCTATTCCTGCCTCAGTATATCTTCTGGTGGAATCTCATACTACCAAACTCAATAATTTCAAATGACCTGCTAGCCATCCTCTGCCATCATTAGCTGATCCAGATTCCTTCTCTCAATGTCATAACCCACAACCGCTACCTTACCCAGCATCCTCATGACTGAAGAAAGAACAGTACAGCACAGGAACAGGCCCATTGGCCCTCTAAGCCTGCGCTGACGCATTTTGCCCTTCCATACTAAAACTGTTAGCAATTACAGGATCTGTATCCCTCTATTTACTTTCTATTTATGTATTCGTCCAAGTGTTTCTTGAATTCTGCTATTGTGTCTGCTTCCACAAACTCCTCTGGCACTCACCAGCCTTTGTGTGAAAAACATGCCTCACACATCTCTTGATTCATCAATGCTTAAAGTTCTTATCTTCATGTTGTTTACACCCTTCCGTGGCCTCATCCAATGCTACATCTCCTCCAATCCTACAAATCTCAGAGACAAAAGAACTGCAGATGCTGGAATCCAAGGTAGACAAACAGGAGTCTGGAAGAACAATGCAATCCAGGCAGCATCTGGAGGAAAGAAGAAGTCAACGTTTCAGATATTACCCTTTCTTGGGATTGGATTTGCGGGTTGGGGAAGCTGCGGATAAAGGGGTGGAGGGGAACAAGGGCAAGAAATGTTGACTTCTCCTTTCCTCCAGGTGCTGCCTGGCTTATTGTGTTCTTCCAGCCTCCTGTTTGTCTACATACAAACCTCAGAGCCTTGTTCCTCCAATTCTGCCCTCCTGAGGATTACAGACTCCCTCTGCTTCACTATCGGTGATCAAGCCTTTGGCTGTCAAGGCCCCACATTCTGGAATCCCATCTTTAAAATGTGGACCAGGGTTTTTACTTGCCCACTCCCAATATCTCTTTCCTCGTTTTAAACTGCATCTGACAACACTTCAGGGAAGTGCCTGAGGACATTGTGGGTGCAACATAAATTCAAGTTACTGTTGTTGCTGTTGTTGAGATTATTGTTGAAAAGTCCCAAGTATTCCACAGAGAGAAACAGATGTCAAGACTGAAAGATTTAGAGAGGTGATTAAATGCTTGGTTGAAAAGTTTGGATTTCAAATTTCCAGCTTTTCATCTTTTCCTCTCAACCTCTCCAAAATCCTGACTTGCAGCTGCCATGAAAACATGGAGAATAGGAGCAGCAGTAGGCCATTCAGCCCTTCAAGTCTGATAACCATTCAATGCCATCATGGACAATCATCCAACTCATTGCCCTGTTCCTGTTTTCTCCCCAAACCCTTTGATCATTTAAACCCAAAAACCATATTTAACTCCTTGAAAAGATTCAATGTTTTGGCCTCAACCACTTGTCATTGCAGAGAATTCCACAGTTTCCCATTCTCTACATGAAGAATTTCTCCTCTTCTTCTCAGTCCTTGGCTCTTTTCTCCGTCTTCGGTCTTCCCTGCCGCTCCCCCCTCCCCCACCCCTCCAACCCCATCACTATTCTCACTTTCATTTATATCTTCTACCGCATTCTAACTAGGTTGTGTTTCTTTATTCCCTTTGCCAATTGCTTCTTCAATCGCCCAGCATTACTGGATCCCTCTGGCAAATTTCTACTTCTTACAAACAGACTCAAATATAGTTTGTATCCTTGGGAACTTGTATGGAGATCAAAATTCAATGTTTCTGGCATGTTGCAGCATCACCTCAAAGATTTACAGACAGTCTCCAATCAAAGCCATGCAAAAAGACCTAGTTTTCTTCAAAGTGATTCAGTGCCAAACATGCCACAGTCAGAAATGACTGGATGATGTTACAATTGAGGTGCAGGGGGTTGATGCAAGTCAGGAGTGACCCAGAGAAACAACTGATTGCAATGTTTGGAATGAATGCATTCCTCAGATCTTGCTTTGATGTGTTTAAATGTTTAAATTGATTTTCTCCCAACCCCGCTCTCAGATTGCTTTTCTCGTCAACGTAGTTACAACGCTGCAGTACTCCCATCAGAACATTATTGAACTCGTTTTCCCTTTCAAGTTGGCTTCCTTTGTGACTGAGACAACAACAAGAAGAGATCAGTGATTTTACCGAAAATTTATTAAGCCAAATGTTGCATGAGGAATGCTGGTGAAATTAACAAAACTGTTACCTTGTCGTAAATCAAACAGTAAATATTTGTAACATAAACAGAAATTGCTGGAAAAACTCAGCAAGTCTTGCAGCATCAGTTCTGAAGAAGGGTCTCTGGACCAGAAACTTTAACTCTGTTTCTTTCTCCACAGACGCTGCAAGACCTGCTGAATTTCTGCAGCAGTTTCTGTTTTTGTTTCAGACTTACAGCATCCACAGTTCTTTGGGTTTAATTTTTGTTCAATAAATTTTTGTGTTAGCTGAAATCAGAAGCCAATGTCAGAGATATCCTACACATCTAAAGGGTACCATGTTGACTTCTCACCAATTAGATCACTGTTGAAATGAATAAAGTGGAATTAAAAAGTCCCATTTCTTCACATTAAAAAATGGCTGGAAAAGTTGTGGCATTTTTCACTAAAAACAAAAATCACACATGGGCTGTAGTAAAAGAGTCTTCTTCACTCCACTTTGCCAATGCTGAAAGTCTTCTCCAAACAAAAACAGAAATTGCTGAAGAAACTCAGCAGGAGAGAAAGCTGAGTTAACATTTCAGGTCCAGTGACAGACGATCATTGGACCCAAAACATTAACTGTGTTTCTCTCTCCTCGGATGATGCCAGACGTACTGAGTTTCTCCAGTACTTTCTGTTTTTGTTTCAGATTTCCAGCATCCGCGCTTCTTTGTTTTATTTCAGTCTGGAAGTCTGCTCTTGGATTTCTAAATTGAATAATAAATCTCCTATAGGGAAGATGTAGTTAAATTTGAAAGGATGCAGAAAACATTTACAAAGATGTTGCAAGTGTTAGAGGGAGAGGCTGAATAGGCTGGGGCTATTTTCCCTGGAGCGTTGGAAGCTGAGGGCTAACCTTGTAGAGGTTTACAAAATCATGAAGGGCATGGATAGGTTGAATAACCAAGGTCTTTTTCTCAGGGTAGGGGAGTCCAAAACTAGACAGCATAGGTTTAAGGTGAGAGGGGAAAGATACAAAAAGAATGTAAGGGGTGACTTTTAAACGCAGAGGGTGGTTCATGTATTGAATGAGCTACCAGAGGAAGTGGTGGAGGCTGGTACAATTGCAACATTTAAAATACATTAGCATTGGGATATGAATAGGAAAGATTTAGAGGGATATGGGCCAAACGGTGGCAAATGGAACTAGATTAATTTAGAATATCTGGTCAGCATGGACAGGTTGAACAGAAGGATCTGTTTCCGTGCTGCATGTCTCTATGACACTAAATCTTATTCTCTAGCAAAGGTCAATTCTTAACCTCAATGAGCACAAAAACCCATCCTAAAGATACCACTCATAAAGAACGTACAGCAAACAAAAAGTGTTGGAGATCACAGTGGGTTAGGCAGCATCCATGGGGAGAGAAACCAAGCTAACATTTCAAGTCTACATGACTCTTCATCAGAGCTGACGTGAAGTGTGTCGCTGCAGTAGTTATGCAATGGTGGGGTGAGGAGTTCTGGAGGAGAAAGGGTATTGATGGAGTGGATTAAGTAATCAGAATGTGAGAATGGCAGAACAATTGTGTGTACAGGTTGGAAATAAAAGCTTCATATTCTTCCTCTCTCCATTTAATGTGTGAAAATGCAAGTGTTTTGGTTGATTAGTTCATTGGATTACATTGTACATATGACATAGGAAAAGGCCTTTTTGTTCAAATATTCTCACTCTGGTCTCCTGTCTCATCTATCAGAATAACATCCTTCCTTCGACACTTATCCCTAATCACACCTTAAATATCCAGAAACCCTTTGTGTTGGGTGTAGTACAAACATAAGCCCCAGATGAAGCACTGCTGAAACCAATGTGCACTTCTTCAGTTCAATTTTCACCTTTGTCCCTTTTATTTCCTAAAGAATCTGACTTATTTTTTTAAATAGTTGCTCATGGGATATAGGCATCAAGCAGCTGCTTGGCCTGCTGTGTTCATCCAGCTCTGCACCTTGTTGTCTCGGATTCTCCAGCATCTGCAGTTCCTACTATCACCTAGTCACCGTTAGAGCCCAGAATTTCCCTATTTGCCATGGTGGGATGCAAACCCATGAATTCACAGCTTTAGCCCAGGGTTCTGAATTGCTCATTAACTGATATTATCACGACGCCACCACCATTAATGGGTAGAGTTCTCCCCTGTTGGTACCAGTTTCAGATGCTGAGAATTCAGTGATAATTATTCAAGCCTTACCTTGGTCTGTCTTACCTTTTCACATCCTGCACATAATCTGCATTCCGGTCAATGAGATGAGTGATGGAATCCTTGATAGCTTCATGCTTAAAGGAGGAGGCTGTTCCAAATACAGTCACATCTGGAATGGTGGAGCAGAGCTGAGCAACAGCCTGGCCCTGCAATAATCACAATCAAATCAGATCTCAGCCTCAACATCTGACAGTGGCTTAACAAACAGATGTACAGACACTTCCAAAGAAATTACTCTGGGAGAGAACTTCAATAATTAGCAGCTGTCCACATCCCACAAGATTAGCGACAGGAGATTATTTTTTAAGCTTTAATTGGTACTCAGTTACCATGACTCAGTTGGGTCCTGTACTTTTCCTGAGCCAGAGTGAGAGTGCCTTGTTAGGATCTCTATCCAGTACCTTTCCTGGTGAATTAACTCAAGTATTGACTGTGCCTGGAGGACCATCATGTTGGTGAAAGAAACTCTTTGGTCTGCCTCAAACCTGTTGGTCTTCCAGAGCAAGGAGTTGACCCTAACTGAATGTTGCAGACTGGCACATTCTAAGGTCCAGGACTAGGTGCTAAGGGACACATTAAAGCTTGCGCAGCTGCTGCATGACACAGTGGGGAAAGACCACGGTCTGAGGTATTTCTGCCGAAGTTAAATGGGGATCCATTTAGTTATTGGACCTTCCGAGTGCCTCAAATGCATGTAAATATAATCCTGCACAATCAAGAAATGCCTTTGGTTTGTTTGTTGGATAGAATCAAACTCCAATGTTTGTTTCGTCATAAGCTACTGAACAGAACCGAACTGCTTTAGTGACGTTGTCTGCACTTTTTTATGAATATTTGAAATAAAAAGGAATTATGTCCCACCCGAGAAAGCTGAGCACAAAATCTGAGCTGACCCTCCCAGTTCAGTACTGAGGGAACACTGCACTGCTAAAGGTGAGGTTCTTCAAATCAGTTGTTAACCCTGAGCCCTCTCAGGTGGGTATAAAAGGATCTACAACTCTATTTTGAAGAAGCGCAGTCGTGTGCTCCCCTGCGTTCAGGACAAAATTCATTCTTCAGCTGATTCCTAATACTAGATTATTTAGCCAGAATCACATTGTGTTCCTGGGATCTTGCTGTGCTCACAAAACCCTGCACCTGGCATGTCAACAGCGACTACCCTTCAGAAGTGAGCTCACTTACTCCACTGATAAGCCAGTTTCACCCGCTGAATGCTAAACATGGATGGTGCCACAGATAAAGCATCTGCGTCCTTCTTGCAGAGGATGGTTTAACAGGTAGGTGTGAAAGGGAGGCTGGGGATGGAGAGTTATTCTGATAGATGAGGCAGGAGACTCAAGCAGAACATAAAAACATGGAATTTTTGGGCAAAATGGTCCTTCTCTATGTTATATGTTCCGTGTAATCCTATGAGCTAATCGATCAAAACACTTGCATTTTGACGCATCATCTGTTTCTGCCCCCACAAGCACATTACACAGAAATAATAAGTTCTGATCCTTGTACAAGACGTCAGCCCACTTTTTGTGGCCTTTCAAATGTTGACTGATCTGACAAGTATTCGCAGCTTGTTTCTTTTCTCTCTCTATTTTTACTTTCCTGTTCTGTCTTATCTTCTGTTTTATCCTTAATATTTTCTTTTGTTCTGATCAATTACTTTCAGAGCATGGAAAAATGTTCAATTACCTGAAAAGGTCAGTCTTTATAGACCCTCAAAAGCTGAACATATACATCAAAGTAAAATCAAATCAAAGGTATCCCATTTTGTATATAGAGACATTAACATATGGATGCTTTGTGCAAAGATAAGTAGTTTGGGGTTTTTGATTCCAGCACCATGAAAATCCATCCTTTGCATGCAGTTAAATCAAGCCTACAGCACAGACACAGGTCAGTTGGCTCAAGTGATCTTGCCAGTGTTCACATTCCACACGAGGCTTCTCCCATTCCTCATCATTAAACTCTATACAACCACATTATCTGCTGCGAGAGCTGAAGACAGGAGCTCCACACTGCAGAACTCCTCACCACTCTCAGAATGGTTACGGCCATTCGGTCTATCGTTTCTGTACTGACATGCTGACTGAGCAGTCCTCCAAGTGCTGCTTCCCCACCTTCTCCCTGTAACCCTGCACGTTCTTTCTTTTCCAAAAAAAATCATCCAACAGTTTTCTGAAGGCCTCTAATGAATCTGCCCACACCCCTCTGCATGCCCCACCCCCCAAATCTTAGGGAGTGTAATTCAGAACCTAACCATTCCCAGCATGATAAATGCGTTTTACTCATGTCACCACAGGTCCTTTCAATAATTGCCTTCAACCTGTGTCCTCACGCGTGCTTGATCCTTTGACCAAATGGGAGCATTTTGTCCCCATCCACTCCATCCAGACGTGTCATGATTTTGAATACCTATATCAAATTTCCTCTCAGCCTTCTCTTTAAAGTCTTAACTTTTCCAATCAAAATGCATAACGGATGTTCCTTATCCTTGAACACACTCTTGTACATCCTTCCTGCACTTCCTCTGATGCCTTCACATCTTTCCTAGAGTCTGATGTGTGGAACAGAGCACAGTATTCTCATTCAGAATAGGAACTGCAGATTCTGGAGAATCTGAGATAACAAGGTGTACAGCTGGATGAACACAGCAGGCCAAGCAGCATCAGAGGAGCAGGAAGGCTGACGTTTCAGGCCTAGACCCTTCTTCGGAAATCTATTCTCATTCCTTCCTTTCAAGGTCAATCCACAAGAAATTCCTAAACTGTTCTCGTAGAATCCCTAAGGCATGTAAGCAGGCCATTTGGCCCATCAAGTCCACACTGACCCTCCAAACAGCATCCCACCCAGACCCACCCCCACGACATAATCATATAACCCCACACTTCCTATGGCTAACCCACCTAGCCTGTACATCCCTGATCACTATGGGTAATTTAGCATGGTCAATCTACCTAACCTGCACATTCTCTGGAAACCAGAGCACCCAAAGGAAGCCCATGCAGAGAATGTGCAAACTCCACACAGACAGTGGAATTGAACCCGGGTCCCTGGTGCTGTGAGGCAGCAGTGCTAACCGCTGAGCCACCATGCTGCCCTAATCTCCCTTAATTCATTTATTCACAGGTTAGGGGTATTGCTGGCAAGGACAGGAGTTATTCCTCACCCACAGTTGCCCTTGAGAAGTTGGTAGTAAGCTGCCTTCTTGCGTACAACTGAGTGGCTTGCTAAGACATTGCAAGGAAGTTAAGAGCCAATCACATTACTGTGAAATTGAGAGTTAATATCAGTCAGACTGGGTAAGGACAGTAGATTGCCTTCCTTAATGAGATTAGTGTACTAGATGAGATTTTATGGCTATTAAAAATGGTTTCATAGTCACATAATTACTGAAGTTAGCTTCGTCATTCTAGATTTATTCATTGAAATAAGAAATTGCTGGAAAACGGCAGGTCAGGCAGCATCTGTGGAGATAAAGTAGAGTTATTAGACAGGGTAGTTAAGAAGGTGTTTAGCATGCTTCTCTTCATCGCTCAGACCTTTGAATATAGGAATTGGAACGTCATGTTAAGGTTGTACAGGACATTGGTGAGGCCTCTTCTGGAGTACTGTGTGCAGTTCTGGTCACACTGTTCTAGGAAAGACATTATTAAACTGGAGACAGTTTTCAGAAAAGATTTACCAGGATGTTGCCAGGAATGCACGGTTTGAGATATGAAAATAAACTGGAAAGGCTGGGACTCTTTTCACTGGAGCTTAGGAGGTTGAGGGGTGACCTTATTGAGATTTATAAAATCTTGAGGGATATAGATAAGGTGAAGGATATTTAGTCAAATTCATGAATAGGGAGAATTTGGAGAGATATGGGCCAAATGTAGACAGGTGGGACTAGTTTAATTTGGGAACATGATCGGTGTGGACTGGTTGGACCGAACAGCCCATTTGCATGCTGTGTGACTCTATGATTTTATAACTGAAGAAGGGTCACTGGACGTGAAACATTAACTCTACTTTCTCTCCACAGATGGCTGCCTGGCCTGCTGGGTTTTTCCAGCAATTTCTGATTTTGTTTCTGATTTCCAGCATCCGCAGTTCTTTGGTATTTTGTTCATTGAATTTAAATTCCACCAGCTCCCACAGTGGGATTTTGAACTGATGTCCCCAGAATATTAGTCTGGGTATCTGGTGAGCTAGTTCAGTGATATTACATCATGCCACCTTTAATTTTATCCCAAATTTATTTAATTAATGCCATTTAAATGCTTAAGCAGATGTGGTGGGATTTGAACTCTTGTCTCCAGGCTCAATGACATCATTATGTTATCAAGCCTTCTATGCAAATTCCATATTAGGTATTATAACACGCTCTTGCAACATGTTTGCAACTGTCTTGACGCTTAGCATGCAGGAATCTATACAACCACTTTAAACAGTGTGCTCAATATAACATTGAGATTGGTAGGCTCTTGATCAGTCAGGGAATCAAAGGTTATGGGAAAAGGGCATGAAAGTGGACGTGAGGAAGATTGGATAAACCATGATCCTATTGAATGATAGAGCAAGCTCGAGGGGCAAAATGGCCTACTCTTGTTTCTACTTCTTATGGTGTTATGGTCTTATGGTCTCACATATGAACCACAGCAGGAATTAAATTCATTAACAGTTTATCATTAAGTTTCAGGGCCTGATGCCCCCTGCTGCCCACTGTAACCAATGCAAAAATTGAGTGAAGTATCTTTGCATTGGAAGATTAGATTCAAACTCCTTGGTCAGTTTTACTCAAGCTACTCGTTTGTTCCAGTTCAGGAAAGGCAGAACAACAGTTATATGTGGAGAGATAGTCGGAACTGCCGATGCTGGAGAATCTGAGATAACAAGGTGTAGAACTGGATGAACACAGCAGGCCAAGCAGCATCAGAGGAGCAGGAAGGCTGACGTTTTGGGTCTAGACCCTTCTTCAGAAAAGGTGGAGCTCTTATCACCAGCACTGGAAATCCTTCGAAGCCCTTATTGGAAGTATTGACAACATCATCTCATTATGAATTATTGCTAACAGAAAGACTTGATGGGATTCTCAATCATTATTCGGGTACTTATATTATTGCACTTGCATTGTACTTACTATTTTGGAACCAAATTGTTTGTGTTG